TGTGTGTGTGTGTGAAGATCATGATGGGGAAATCTACAGAGACAACTGAACCAAGCTCAAAGGAACTCACAAACTTTAGACTGACAGCTGTGGAGCCTGCATGGGACCGGACTAGACCCCCTGCATACGGGAAACAGTTGTGTAGCTGGGTCTGTTTGAGGGTCCCTGGCAGCGTGATCAGGATCTATCCCTGGTGCATGAATTGGCTTTATGAACCCCATTGCCTGTGGTCAGACACCTTGCTCACCCTTGATGCGGGGAGAGGGGCTTCGTCCTGCCTCAACTGAATGTGCCAGGTTTTGCTGCCCCCCACCATGGGAGAACTTGCCCCTTTGGAGGAGGGAATGAGGGACCAATGGGGGGGGGAAGGTGGCAGGGGAGAATGGGAGGGTGCTGGTGGGGAATCTGTGGTTGGTATGTAAAATGAATAAAAACTTTTTTAATAAAAAACATATAATTTCTACTAGAACTCTGGGTTTGCATCCTATGGATTTGTAAATAAATATATATTGGAACTTTTTCACTGTAAAAAGAAAAAAGTAATCATACCTTAAAGTTGTCCCACAAATCAGCTGACAGATATGTTTACATTCACACAAAACCAGGTGAAGACAGAACCAAGAAGCCTTGGGTCCTTTTCTAGACTTCGGGGAAATGCATAAGGACCTAAAAAGAAGCCCTGGTCCCACGGCAGGGAGCTTAGAGAACAGTTCTCGAGTTCACAAGCAAAACTACAGAATGAACCGTGAACAGAGATCTTTCATAGTCCTTGGAACTTGGGATACCTTAGCGATGTGAAGGCTTCGGGTAGATATACATAAGTAACTAAAAAAATCAAAGTCGAGCCTGAGTGATCCTGAAGATATTATTAATTGCACTGGATCCCTGCAATAGGCTTCCTGTCAATCTGTGGGTCTGGACATTGTTAAACAACTATCAGACCTATATTTTGACAGCAATGATAGAGCAAAATGTTTGAGACCCACCAAATTGGTCTATCGAAGTGGAAAAACAGAGCTAGTTCATATTTGAGCAAGAGTGTGAAGGTAACCATTACTCGGTGTGGGACAGCATATCTGTGCAGGTGTCCTCAGTAGAGTCACAAAGCATCCCCCAAGAAATCCTCTGCTGTGACTAACTGAGTGTACAGACACAGCAAGCTACTCCACCTCCTTCTCTCTGACTCCTGACACCCCTCACTGGACAACAGTGTGCTGTTAAGTTCAAGGGTCCTGTATGACGTCTCAGGTTCTCCATGAGCTGGCATGAATCCTGCTTGGGGTTATAACCAACTCACCAGAGCCCTCAGAGGCGGTGAGTTGCTTGGCATGGGTTCTTGTTCCTCCCCCCTCTTTCACTGGCTTAACTTGCTCTGAGGCTTTCCATCCGGAAAACAGGGCTCTAAGCATACCATTTCCTTCCAAGAATCTAGTTGAGTGCTGAGTCGGATAACGTGTGAAACATTCAGCCTGGGGCCCGGCACGAATTCATCACTCAACAAACATTGGATTTTTGCCATTTTTAGCCAGAATCCTTGCTAACTTTAACTCAGTGTCGGCATAGCCCACCTGGTAGCACACATGAATGACAGAAGCCAGGTGCTTACATCTCTTAAGATGCTGGAACATTCCTCACAGCCTCTAAGAAATACCCTCTGTCCCTTAACTCACTGACCAAGGGCCCCTTCATGGCTGGTCATTTTCCGTGCGCACATTTTGTGTAGGTAAGGATTTCCCTGCCATGAGGAAGTGAGGGTGCAGGCATGAAAAGCCTCAGTCTCGGCATTAACAGAGTAAGGGCAGGGACTCTTGCTGGAGGCCCAGCGGCCATAGGAAATGTGGACACAATGTCATCAGCCTTCTGAGTTTTCAAAAGACATCTGAAATTTTATTTGGCTATTCCTCATCGTTAAATTCTTAAATTTACATTTTTTATTAAACAAAATAAGCAGGGCTTCTTATAAATGTTTTGGAAAAAAAATTAAAACGGCCGTGGAAGCTGAATTTGGCCTGGGAAGGCCGGTTTGTCACCTCCCTCATAAACAGAAATTTCCTCCTTCTCCCACTTAGGATGAAGACTAAGATTCTGTAAACATGGTAACCACAGTTAGGAGATAATGCAGCCTGGGACATGCCTAGACCTGGGTGACATCACTAGAACCCAGGCCCAGTTTGTTATCAACTCTTGTTATGCCATTGAGGCAGGTGCCCAGCACAAGCTGAACCAGACTCACTATGAAACGTCCCAGTGACCCTGAGCTTCAGGGAAACAGGGCACCAACTCCAGGCCTGAGGGGCTGCTGAGCTGGGACACCTAGACCTCTGGCTGGTGGCCTAGTGCAGAGGGAACTTGTCTGTGAAGCCTGTAAGTTGGGGTCTGGGTGAAGGACAACCTCCCCCACCCCCAGGAGTCTGAGGGGTTTTGTTGTTGTTGCTTTTGTTTTTTGTTTTGTTTTGTTTTCCGAGACTGGGTTTCTCTGTGTAGTTTTGTGCCTTTCCTGGAACTCACTTTGTAGCCCAGGCTGGCCTCCAACTCACAAAGATCCGCCTGCCTCTGCTTCCCGAGTGCTGGAATTAAAAGCATGTGACACCACTGCCATACCACCCTGAACGCCCCCGATCTCGTCTGATCTCAGAAGCTAAGTAGGGTCGGGCCTGGTTAGTACTTGAATGGGAGTCTGAGTTTTTTAACGGGCACACACACCTCTGACATCTCCAAGTGAAACCAAACCAAATGCTCTTCATCTTGAAAAAACCTTTTCCTGAGAGCAACTTTTAAAATGGACATCCAAAAAAATAAAAATAAAAATGTATAATCCTTTGGGGAAAGAAGTGGACATCCAGAGGAACAGGGCACCAGATGAAGTGTGGGTCTCTTTCATGAGAAGCACTGTTTAAGAGCCTTGCTGTTGCATTTTTCTCAGCATCTCAGGATAACCTCCGTCACAATAATTACACTCAGCCCAAACCCAGCATCTACTCTGCGCTAGGCTCTATTCTAAATGGAACACCTTGCATCCGCTCGCTTAATTCTCTCCACAATCGGATGAGGTTGGTGGTACCATTTTCTTCTTGGGATGAAGAAGACATCGGTACAAAAGGTTAATTAAGTAAGTGACCCACGGTCATTCACATGTAAGTGGTGGAATTCGATCTCAAGGCAAGCTCTGGAACAAGAGCAACATCTTGACCACTTGGGTGGACAAATTCTTTCTTTATCTTCCAGAGGTAAGAGCTGAGACTACAACGACTTAGTCTTTCCAACACACACACACACACACACACACACACACGTTTTAGGAAAGACTTTAGTGAGTCCATTCCACTCAGTTTGCTTTGGATCTGAGCTCAGAAAATTCAATCCCAAGGATTTATCTCCCTTACAAGACACATGCCTCAATGCGGGGTGAGAGGTCGAGGTCCAAGATGCACCCACAAGGAGAGATTCCCATATGGCAGTAACTGCTTGCCCCCAGAAAGTTCCTTCAGGAGCCTGAAAATGCAAGCAAGCCTCCCCTCTCCCGCCACCTCTTACCTCGTAGGTGCTGGTGATCCCCAGCCTATAGAACACGGGAAGGAAGACCTCCGCGCTGATGACCACCACAAAAAAGTAGGTGATCCCAAAGATGCTGAAAATTGCCCCAAAACGATAGACCTCGGCGGGGGTGCCCAGGACAGTGACAGCGGACATGAAGCTGGCGGTGAGGGACAGAGCCACCGGCACCGCGGTCATACTGCGGCCACCCATCAGAAAGTCCTTGGAGGTCTGCTGGCCGCCCCCCGCGAAGGCATAGTAGATGCCAATGGCGGCCGAGATGAGCAGCATGCCTGCAAACACCACGTAGTCCCACACCACAAAGCTGCCGATGTCCCGCGACGCGTCCATGGCCCCCCGCGGTGACCTGAGCCCGGGAGTGAGCAGGTCGCTCGCTTTAGCCTCGGGCGGTGCTAGCTTCTTTTCTCCCTGTTGCAGCAGGAGGTGGCGTCCCGCGGAGGCCAGGTACGTCCCGCAGGCGTGGATCCTCGTGGAGGTGGGAGCCTAGCTACCGGTTGCCAATCACCCGGTGGAGGAGACCCCTGGCTCGCCAGCTGCGCCCCTGAAAGTCAGCGCTGAGCGCTCACCAGGTGCGGCCCGACGGACCGGGGTGGCGACTGCCTAGGCACCAAGCGACTCTGGGGCGGGTGAGAACTGGAGCCTCTCACCGCGTCCAGCGAATCCACGGTGCGCGCTCCGCGCAAGTTTTATTAAGTGACAGCGGCGGCGACGCACCATTTAAACGGGCAGGTGATGGGTGTGTGGAGGGGGGTGGGGGGTGGGGTGGACCGAAGGGCAGTTGTCACGCCTTTAAGTTTAGCTTTCCAGTTCACAGTCCAGGTCCTTGCTTGAAGGTACACCTGGAGTGTGAGGCTCATCATCGCTTGACAGATTAATGGGTGATGGGGGTGACAGCGGCGGTAACTGAGATCATAGTGGTTATTCGACAGGTGGGCAATTATGAAGGAGACGAAGGAGGCTGTGCTGGGCTGCGGGTTGCTTGCATTTTCACATTTCTGATCCCATATAGTCCGTCTGATCCCTACTACAGCCTGCAGAGGCAGGGACGGCTGTTATCCTCTGTCTAATGAGATTTAGAATTAAAAACAAACAAACAAAGATGTGCCTACTGCCTTTTGCAGTAGCGAGTGTGAGTCTTATAATTATCCTTATGGTAGGAATGATCTCCATTTTTCGAAGGAGGGAAGCTGCTTCCAGGAGGTGAAATCAACATGCCTGTAATTCTAGCACTTGGGAGGTGGAAGCAGGAAGACCAGAAGTTCAAGGTCATCCTCAGCTGTTCAGCAAGAACTGCATGAGACCCTGCTGGGAGAGGGAAGGAGGGTGGTGGTGGTGGTAGAGGGGGAAGAAGAGATAGAAAAAGAGAAGAGGAAAGGGTAGGAGAGGAGGTGAGTCACTTGGCCAAGGAAATGGTGGGGATGGAGGCTTTAAGCCAAGTCATGTGTTAAAGGCAGACATGAATATTACACTTAAACGAAGCCACCTTAATATCTTTATTGCTTTTTTAGACTTATTTATTTTTATTTTATATGTAATGAGTGTTTTTGAATCATGTGTGTCTTTGAACCATGTGCATGCAGTGCCTGTGGAGGCCAGAAGGAGGCGTCAGAGTCCCTGGAATTACAGACAGTATTGAGCCACCTTATGAGAGCTGGGAATCCATCCCAGGTCCTCTGGAAGAGCAGCCAGTGCTCGTAACCAATGAGCCATCTCTCTAGACCCTGAAAAGATCATTTCTAATACCACTCAAGACATGTTTTGAATATCTTACTTTGAACTATTACTCCCAACATGTGACACATTCATAAAATAATAAGATTCTCTGGGTTTCCTTCTAAAATAGCCCTCCAGCCAAGTGTGCCCAGCCTTCTAGCAATTTCAAACTGTCCTAGCTAATTTTCATACCTTTTTATGACTTACCAGTTGATCTGCAGGAAGCAATCATCAAATACCTTCAGCCCAGCCCAGCGTGAAGAAAGTTCTATCAGGTTTTTTTTTTAATCAGCTGGCATCATGTATATATCATTTGCAGAGTGAAACACACGCTCAATTCAAGCAACCCAGTCATTTAAACGAGATGCGGCGTGGGATTGTGTCCCATCCATGTGAAATGTCCATCTACATATCATGTGTGTGCCTCAAACTGTAAATACAGCACGGACAGATCCTAGGAAATGAATCTGTTTCTGAAAATGCTTGTAAAACCAACAACCCTACGTATGAGAAAAGGTTTTTAAGTGAAACTCCTCTCTTTGACACCTAGAGTGAAGGACAGAACTTCTGGCTACCTGTGAGCAATGCCTCACCATAGTCACTCAGAGGCAGACTACATTTGCAGGCTCGAAAACTTTGCATTCTATCACCCATTAGCCATGCTTTAGGCAAGACCCCACTTCTGTACCTTAGTTTCCTTTATTCAAAATGATTAGTTATATTTTTATTTTTACATCTACTTATTTTGTCTGTGTGTGTGTGTGTGTGTGTGTGTGTGTGCATGCTTGCATATGTGTGTGTGCACATGTGTGTGGTCATGCGCATGCCACAGCATACATGTGGGGGTCAGAGGACAACCTGTTTGGTTCTCTCCTTCCACCATGTGGGTTCCAGGGATTGAACTCGGGCCATTAGGCTTGGCAGCAAGAGCTTTTCATTGCTGACCCATTTTCTTGGCCTCTAAGAGACAGTGATCATTCTCTCACAATGGTAGAGGGTTAAATGAGATGATGCATGAAGAAAGTCCTGGACATGGCTAAGTGCTGACACCGGGTAAATGTTTACTTGCTTTCCAGTTTAGTAATAACAGACTGGCCACAGCTGTAGTTTAAAAGGTCCACTTTTAAATATATGCAGCATTTCCCTTCACTGCCCCCCCCCCCTGCTTATAACACTCAGGTAATGCTGTGAGCTGTGCATAAGCCACACTCTGTCCTTTTACATATCCTGGGGGTCCTGATACAAGTCTTGAAACAGTATCTTCAAGAAGAATGTGTGAGTGGTCCGTTTTGTGCCTTTGGACACGTGGGTCATCATTTGTTATCTTCACACAATCTTTTTCTTCAAAAATTTGCAAGAATCCTTGGTCTTCTTCTGACATTTCTTAATGGAGAGCTGGGGTCAACCAGCTCTTCGTTTCCTCATGAATATCTGGCCTTCCAGCTGAATGTTCAGTGCTTGTATTCCCAAGCTTTCGGCATTCTCCAGAAGAGCACATTTTCCATTACTATCAAAGTGATCCTTTCAATATAAATAACTATGACTTTTTAAGTGGGAGAGAGAGCTTTGCGGTTAAGAGCACTTGCTACTCCTGCAGGAAACCTGAGTTTGGTTCCCAGCACCCATGTCAGGAAGCTCACAACCACTTGTAACTCCAGCTTCAGAGGATCCAATGCCTTTTTCTGGCCTCAAAGGGTACACACACACACACACACACACACACACACACACACACACACAGAGTTAAATATAAAAATAAATTTTTAAAATTGAAACTTCTTGTTGTTCCAAATATTCCAGACTCTTTCTCGGAAATCTATAACCTTCCATAACCCTGCCCAGTAATTTATAGTTTTTATATGAACCTCTTCCCCACCTTTAACCTGTGGGTCCTAAGTTGGTCTTTTTTTTTTCCCTCCAAGACAGTACTTCTCTGTATAACAGTCCTAGCTGTCCTAGAACTTGCTTTGTAGAGTAGGCTGGCCTCAAACTCACAGAGACCTGCCTCTGCCACCCAAGTGCTGAGATGAAAGGCATGCACCATCACTGCCTGGCTCTGAGTTTGTCTTTTATGGCATTAGTTTCAGTGTCTAAAATGGTATGCTTATTGGGGAAATTATAAGGGCCACTCCACGTAGTTAAAAGGAAGATTTATTTAGTGGGTGACTTACAAATGAAGGAATAGATAGGCTGCGGGGGTCTGGGGAAGGTGTATTGCAATCCAGCGGTGTTCTCTGGAGCTCTGCTCAGTCAACCTCCACCGTCCAGGGTCCCGGAACAGAGAACGCTTGCCCATCCAGGTCTCGGGTCTCCAGATGCCTCCCTTGGCCCCGCCTCGTAGGCGTGACAGTTGCCAGAGTCTCAATGGGGGTTGGAACTTCCAGAACCAAGCTGGAATAGCTACCCACTACATATGCTCTACTCTACTACCCTTGCTGTGGATTCTACCTCTACATTAGATTAAATGTATTAATATAATATATGATATTATATATATATATTAAGCATTATATTAAAATACTTCTACATTTTAATATAAGTTTTAAAAATTATCAAAACCATTCCAAAGTCTTTTTAGCTTTAGAGTGCTAATTTTTGTTAATTTTCTTTTTTATTTAATCCTTGGAGTGATAACTTTTACGGCACTTCATTTTGTTTGAATCTTTGAAGGTAGTCTCATTTCTTTGAGTCCTTGGTGTCCCCCCACCACTACCCCACATTGGACAGTGTCTTAGTTAGGGTTACTATTGCCACATTGAAACACCATAACTAAAGCAAGTTAGGGAGGAAAGGGTTTATTTGGCTTAAAGTTCCACATCACTGTTCACCATCAAACAAAAGTCAGGACAGGCACTCAAGCAGGACAGGAACCTGGAGGCAGGAGCTGATACAGAGGCCATGGAGGAGTGCTGCTCACTGGCTTGCTTCCCATGGCTTGCTCAGTTTGCTTTCTTATAGAACACAAGTCCACCTGCCAAGGGGTGGTGCCACCCAAAGTGACCCGTGCCCTACAGACTTGCCTACAAGCAATCTGGATGGGGGCATTTTCTCAATTGAGGTGTCTGTTCCCTAAAAACTCTAGCTTGTGTCAACTTGACAAACAAAACTAACCAGAGCACAGCCTCTGATTGTACGCATAGGTATGTTGGTGGAGGTCGTACAGACAACAGAATACAGGCCACCCAACACTCTGCAGGGGGTACAGGTAATGATTCTGAACCCAATTTAGACAAGAAGGATTTCTTTTTATGAGGTATTCCCATCTCAGTCAGTGTGAACAAGAAAGCATGTGTGCATGTGTGCATGCATGCATGTGTGTTAATTCAGTTAAATATGGCCACAGATGGGTGCAATGGCCCATTACAAGCCTTTAATGCCAGCAAGGATTAAATCAACTTTAGAAGACAAGAGGATCCTGAGATGGAGACCAGAAGGCTACTGAGTGAGTTCTAAGCCAACCTAGGCTACAAGGACACCCATTTCAAATAGCAACAACACCAAAATGTGGCCTCTAGAAACTCAACACTACCTGGCCTCTAACAAGCTATTGGACATCTCCTTCCATTTATTTTCCTCACTTACACACCTGCAGCAGTAGCATCCTCTTCCTCACTGTG